ATTTAATGGTTTTCATACAACTACTTACAAGAACAACAAGTAAAACCATATTATAAATCTACATCAGCAAATAAAATGCAACAAATAACAGAACCAAAGACAAAAACTGGAATATATCTGACTTTTTTCCAGTATGTTTTCACTCCAGACAAATCAACATTTTTTCTGCTTGAAGTCAGGAAATACTTGTCAGTGAAGGAAGTCACTCATTTTACTGTGAGTGGGGTTTGGACATACATTTGTTGCATTTAATAAGAACACCATAATGTTAAGTTTCTACATATATATTTCTGGACTGTACACACTGCATATCAAAATACACTTTATAAAGGTTCTATGCCCCGATAGACCTAGATGGAGTAGTGAAAGGATCAAACAAGACTTGACACAAAATCCGATGCTCTCTTCTGTGAGAAAACAAATTTCCTAGTGAAGTCAGTTGAATGGAGATTGTAACATGAAAAAAGATTCCTTTAAGCATCTTGAGGTACTGTAGCTACTGTTATAATAACCTTCAACAGTTGTACTTCTAAGTCTAGTGGCAAAGGGAAGAGTATTGGCAATGACTACGAAGATCTTGCCATGTCACTCTTAGATATTCACAGAAAGAAGAAATCAGAAACAAATTTTCATTCAGCTTTTGCAAACCTTTGTTTGTCTCTTTAGCACAAGACATCTAGAGTAATCTTCTCTGTGAACTTTTTAACAGGCATCCAGCTGTTTTGTACAAATATGTTTTAAGATCAGAGGGGCCCTGGAGAGAAACAAATTGGTGCAAAGAGCCATAATGAAACAAAGAAGCTCAAAAGCCATCAAGGGGGAGCTTAGAAAAAGTCTAAGAAACTGTAAATTTAGACCATGATCACCACGGCTACAGAAATAAAGATACAAATTTATTACATTATTTCGGCTGTTTGCGTTTCCACGCCCAGCTTAAAGCTACTACATAATACATACTTTCTGTGATGCTGTTGATTTATTATTATTATTATTAATTATTATTTATTATTTAGTATTATTATTATTATTACATCAAGGGGGAGCTTAGAAAAAGTCTAAGAAACTGTAAATTTAGACCATGATCACCACGGCTACAGAAATAAAGATACAAATTTATTACATTATTTCGGCTGTTTGCGTTTCCACGCCCAGCTTAAAGCTACTACATAATACATACTTTCTGTGATGCTGTTGATTTATTATTATTATTATTAATTATTATTTATTACTTAGTATTATTATTATTATTATTATTATTATTATTATTATTATTATTATTATTATTATTATTATTATTTGCAAACAGCCAGTTCCTACTGTTCTGACACAGTTTTGGGGGGAGTTATGCTGCTAGATACCACAAAGGCATCCTTCAGAACTCCTTCCCAGTGCAAAAGTACTGTTAAGTGAGCTTCAGACACAGTAGGGTTTGAAAAAAGAATCAGATCCTTCATCACTCTCACAAAAAAATGAGGTTTTCAAGGCTTTAAGATTTTGGACTATTTTTTTGGTTTCTGTATTTTCATTCCCACCTCCTCCTAATTCTGAACATTAACACAAGTTGAAACAACTTTTAAACATTGTTTTTAAAAGTTCTATCTTAAAAAAAAACAAAAACATGCAAACACCAGAAAATGCTCTCATCTATCTCAGCGTAGACACTGTTTGCTTCTGCGGGGACTTAAAACTCAGTTTCACAAAGTAATTTAAGAAATAAAAATTTAAGCTGTTTTCAGTGCAATCTGAGTGCCCAGATTGCACTGATGCAGTCATACCACTTTTCATTCTTATTGAACAAGAAACCAAAGGCATAATCAAACATTACGACTAGAGATACTACAAAGAGAAGTTCAGGCATATTTATGAGCATGCTTATATCCAACCACCACTCACATTACCAGAATAGAAGCATATTTTGCATTGTTTCCACTCACCCTGTGAATTATGCCCGATGAGTGAATATACTGTAAAAAAAGAAATAATTTTTAGTTAATGATGTCCTCAATTTGAGAAGATGTCTTGGGCAGGGGAGGAAGTATTTTTTCATGGGTGCTAAAGTAATCTGAAATTACACTATGTTTATTTATTGCACAGAAGACATTTTAGCAATGTTTTTAATGTTCACATCATTAAACTAGCATTTTTCCCTTCTCCTCCCCCAATAATGAGAAACCAGTAAAGCCATTTGAGTACTGCAACAGATCATACAGTTTTTCTAATTCTTACCATGCATGCAATGCTGTTTCCAGCTAATTCTTGGCATTGGTAGGTATATACAGGTATAAAAATAAATCTACTTTATATATCATAAATGGTCTCTTGCAATAGAAATCTCCCATGTGCCATGATGGTTTAAATTCATATGCTCCAGCAGCACTGAGTTTTAAGAGACCATTTAAGACCAGCATCGTCAAGGTCTTAGCGGAGAAGTCTCGCTACATGCTTCAATTCTTCTTAAACGAAAGATGGAGACATCATCTTGCAAGACATTCTCCTTTACCTGAACACTTTCATCACCCTTCCAGTCACATATTTGAGGGCTCACAGAACTCAAACTAACAACCTGGACAGATGAAATGTGTATTTCAGACTTCAGTTTTTAACTTAAAACAAAACACATACAATCTAAGCAGCAGAAAATCTGGATTTTAGGCACTGGGTTTTTAAAGCAGTGACTAAAAAAGAATAATATTTCTGACATTTGCTTTTTTCTCTCTTACACCTGACGTAGCATTCCAGATGTAATCTCATAGGTTCTGAAAAGAGGGGGGAAAAGTTAAAAATCACTTCCCTTAACCTTCTGCCTACAACTCTAACAATCCAGCTCAGACCATGGTCGAGCTCCACTGCTGCACAGATGCACTGCTGTGCATAACTCCATGTAGGACCCAGCATTTGCAGGACACCAGTTCCTGCTGTATATTACTTGCAGATGAAGTAAGGTTTAACATCACCCATAGAAATTGCCAAAGTGCTTCACCGGATTTCCTGGGGCAGATAAAAAGGGTAAAACCACTATGGCAAATGAAGAACTACATAAGGGTGTTTCTTTCACGGATGTGCATGAAGTAGATCAGGATGGGAGGAACCAGATACAAAAAGAGAAAGTCTGTCATTTGTATGCAAAGACCAGAGAGGGTATATACTTTGTTTATTTATTTATTTAAATACCTGTATTTAAATCTGTAAGTAGTTAAATTCCCCACAAATGAGGAAAAATCTGACTTCTGTCAATAGCCATCTTGATCAAGGATATCACAATGACTATTTGCATTCCAAATAATTTCAATGTCTTCTTAATGAAGCTTCTTGATTTTCCAGAGCAGATGCTTAATATATAGATACTTAATATATTTTATGAGCTACTTTTGCTGGTATGACTGTAGACGGGAAGGAAATAACTGGCAGAGCCAGGAATTTCTGCACCTAAGAATGTGGCACACAGAAAGAGGACTTAAAAGGACTGCAGCCTTGGGAATTTTAAAGTATATCTTACCTGTTTGCGGGGGGAAGAGCATGGTTTTGCTGACATTTTCACCCCACTGAAGGTTTATGAGTGTTCACAGCATTAAAATCATGTTAACACTTTGGGGAGAATTCTTGTATTTCCTAAACACTTCTCTTAATACAATGCTAGTAAGATTACATGAAATGGCATTTATTCTTGGTGCTAATGTACACATCAGCCTTCCTGCAAGCTGAAGTACTGGTGCTGTGCTGTAATGTTTCTTTAACAACAGCAGTATTTTTTTAACTGCAATTTATTATCTCCTGGCAGGTAGCAGCACTGGATCTATGCCAGTCTTTGTTCAGACAATTTTCCATTTCAGTTCAATAACCTTCTGAAAGGGGATCCTATTCTTCCTGATTCTACTCATTAAATTATCCATGTATTGACAGATTTTTCACTCTCAACATGGCAAAACCACCGAACCCAGAGCAGATATTCCCTTCACATGTTATTACCACTTCATCTCAACAATATTTTATTCAACTTGAGCAAGATGCCTTGGAGCACAGGAGTTCTGTGCATTATCCTAAAGACAATTTTTGTGGCATCCATAAATCCTTGAATGCAAGCTTTAGATTGTGCTAGGAAGCTATCCAACAGTTGTTTCAATTCTAAGCATTCTTGTCTGTATGTGTAATCTCTACAGAAAGCAAAAAGCTAATCAAAAGGGAATTAGAAAAACCCAGGAGAAAGTATTCTAGGCAGCCTGCAAAATGAAAATGAGGAGTGACTTGGCCAGGATGGAAAAACTGAAGAGGAAACAGGTGAAACAGGGAAGAGAAAGCAGAAAAGCAGAAAGAATAATATAAATGAGAAAAAAAGACAGTAAATAGAGATGACAAAAGGAGAGAACTGAGCAGCTAAACATTACCCTGGTTAAAGCAAAAGAAGCTTGAACAGGTGTTTGTATGGCCCAGGAGCTATCTGTCCATTCTCAAACACTGAAGCAATAAAGAAACAGGACTGCCACCCACCTCCCCAAGCCTCTGGAACACAAACCCAACTGGCACTTCTACAGAAGAGGAACCCAAGACTGAAAGCTCCAGCTTCTTTCCACCTACATAAAGACATTTATACTCAGCTTGCCTTCTGTACTCTTTGACAATACATGGCTTTTCTGTCAAGCAAACAAAAAAAATGATGACAGCCCTTCCAAATTGCAAGCTCATGCCTAAATAAAATGTAATATCAGACTATGGCTCGACTAGGAAACAGACAAAGGAGAGGTGTGCCATTGTTTGTAAGCAGTGTCAAATTGCATTGTTTTTTCCTATCACAGATGAAATTAAATTCTGATAAATTGCAAGGCTCACCAAAGAAAGGAAATTAATATTTCATTTTCTTATAGGAAGAAGACAGTAAAAAGGTAAAAGCAGAAACTAACTGACAAACAAGGGCTGAAAAGACTTACAGAGTAAAGATCTGTGGGTTTGATACAAATCTTTTTAAACTCAGTATGACCTTTCTACAGACCTCAATTAATATACATATTTTAAATCAAGAACATTGATCCTTTTGGTATACAACCAATTCAGAACCAATCTCTAGACACAATGTAGAAACAAAGCCTGCAATGAACTGACTTGGGGGGTTAGCAAAAATCTCTCTCATGTCTTCACAACACATCACTTACACAGAGTGTTTTTGCTCAGGCTGTTACTGTACAAGTATCCAACCTGACAAAAGTGATGACCAGCCTTCTTGCCTTTGACCATACATGCATACAGATACCATAAAATGTTTATGTGCCACTTTACACAAAGAACAAATGCATACTGCAGGTCACATCTTTAATTAAAAAAAACCAAACAAAACCCAAAATAGAGTCCATCAAAGTTAAATGGTGCAAAAAACTAATATGAGTTATAAAAATGAGAATCTGGATGAATTAATTCAAGAAGAGCCCAAAATTTAATGGAGCAGATAAAGACTGTTCTCAAACGTTTGCTGTGCAATAGGAAATGACAAAACATAACAGTCTAGTAGCTGCATAATGTCTTGCTTCCTCCTGGTAATTTTGAGGTAAGTACAGTTGTGCTCTTCAAAAATGTGGAAGAGACAAAATATTCAGGTGAACCACTTCTTATAGAAGAACTTCCTCCCCCTGAGCATTGCAGAGGGACAGAGAGTTGTGGTCACTTCATCACATTGTCTCTGCTGTTCTTTCCTCCTCACTCTTCTCCTGGTTCTCCATGGGGTCCTTCCAATGGGAGACAGTCCTCCATAAACTGCTCCAGAATGAGTCCTTTCCATGGGATGCAATATGGGTCCCCTGTGGGTCACAGGTCTTGCCACAAAACCCGACAAAAGCCTACTCCAGTGCAGGCTCTCCATGGGCTGCAGCTTCCTTTGGGGCACATCCATGTGCTGGGGCACGAAGGCCTCCACTGGCTGCAGTGTGGGTATCTGCGCTGATGTGGCCTCCCATGGGCTGCAGGAGAACCTGTGCTCCAGCACCCGGAGCACCTCCTCATTCCCCACTGACTCTGGTGTCTGCAGAGCTGTTACTCTCATGTTTTATCACTCCTGCTGCACAGCATTTTTTATCCCTCCTTATATCTGTTACCACAGAGGTGCCACAAGCATTGCTGATGGGGTCAGGTTTAGCCAGTGTTGGGCTAATTTTGGAGATGATTGGAACTGGCTGTGTCAGACACGAGGGGAAGCTCCTTGTGAATCCTCACAGAAGTCACCCCTGCAGCCCTCCACTACCAAACCTTGCCACACAAACCCCGTACATGCTTTTTAATTCTTGCTCTTTATCCTTCAGATGTATGTCAGCCATGCACAGATGCTCCACGTGCTCTCCACATTTACTGTCAACCTTCAATGTGCACAAACACCCTCTGTTGGCCTCTGCGAGATAATCTAGGCCAATGGGACCAAAATATGTTTCTAGGCCATTTCACTGGAATTAAATTAATTATTCATGCTTTCCACTACACTCAACTCAAGCTAATTTTTTTACAGTTCATATACTGCTTGCCTTAAAATTAGCCCAAATAATGCTTTTAATCTCTGGCGAACAGCATGTCCCTGCTGGAAACCTCTTTGCCAGACAGTTACCTGCAACTAAACAGACCACTCCACCTATTTGGTCCTTGAGAAAACACTTAATAGGACAAGGATTTGTAATTAGGGAACTAACTACAAAACTGAAATTGTAGCCCTGCATTCAAAGCCCAGATCAAAGGTTAATTCCTTCTAGTTTTAATCAAGCAAATTTCCCCAAACCTGGCTTTAGCTTCTGCATTTGTAAAATGGGAATCACAGCATTTAAATGTACAACTGTAGAATAAAAAAGCATATGTAAAAGGTTGCATGAATGAAAATCTACTGAATTAAGAATACAAAATCTGAGGTAGGGTGAAGGAGAAATTAATAATGCAGGACTCAACAACAAAGCATATTTATTGTTTGTGATGGAAGTAAAACAATTTAATTGTTCTTTTGTACCTGCTAAGTTCTGAGAAACAAGGGAACCTTAGGTACACTGTTCTTGTCCAGGAACAGCATGCTGACTTGCAATATTATTTTTTAATGTGTTTGGGAATGCAGAGTGCCTTAGTGACTGTGTCAGACCAGTATTGATAAGCCATGGACACATTCTCATTTTAGAGGAATTTGAAGCTGATGACATAGCTGAGGGCTCCAGTGAAGGGAAATCCTACCTCTGAACTCAGCATTGGTTTCATTCTTAGTCTCTATGCTCTCCAACTAGCCACACTATGAGGTGTGACAAAGCAGCACCACAATCAACTACTGAGAATGAAGGCAACTAAAAAACAGAGCAGGGACTTTGTGGTGTACTCCCAAGGTCATCCTGAATCAATGCACTATGTAGATTTTGAAGTACCTCTTGTTTTTTTGCTTGAAAAAAGCCACAGACCAAACCATCATACAAAAGACCCCAGGTAACATTTATCATCACAAAACCACTGCTATGTAGAATGTCATGCTTTTACTATACAGGACAAGAGAAATTTTATCCTACTATCTAACGATAAGTATAGTGTGTATATACATATTTATATAAAGTATATATAATGATATAATAATCTGTAATGATTTATAGCTCTCCATAATGGTTTACTAGGAAAAAATGATTGTGAAATCAAAATAAAAGTGGCAAACCTTTAAGCCTTTCAGCATCTGATATACTAGGAACTGGATTCTGTCTTCACTTAGTTTTTCATGCTTCATTATCTTACTCAAGTCTGTTCCCATAAATGGCATGACAAGGTAGCTTGGGAAAAAAAAGAGACAGAATATCTTTAATATGTCAAATACATGAAAACATAACTGTATATTTTAGTTCCATGACAATACAAAATTATAGATAATTGCTTTTGCCAAAAAATTCCAGCATCATCTCCCTGACCTCCAAGTTTCTCTGGTTTTACCTATTTTGATTGTCATAAAGGGATATTCCCTAACCCTGTCACTCATTATGGAAAGTTGCTAGTTACCAGAAGAGTGCAGATTCTGAACCAGTTAGAAAGAACCTAACCAAGAGCCTTGTGATATTTCAAAGACACAGAGAAGACATTCACACAATGGTATGTATCTCATAGTCATGATCATAGCATTGAACCAGCAACAACCAAACCACCTAGACGGTTCGTTCAAATAGACAAGGTCAAATATAACAGAAATAGAGATGTTCAAATTAGGAGACAACAACAACTTACATTAATTTTCATCTGGGATCATAAACTAGGATCTTCAGTACTTAGTACTGGTAAGGAACACCAGCAACAGGCCTGAGAATGCCAAGCTGGCATGTCATGGGTATTCTTCACTTAAGATCCAAAACTGTTCCTTGCACTGATTTAGTAAACTCATCCTTCAGTCCACCCTTAATGTCAGGTCTGAACACAGGCAGAGCCAGTCATGCCTGGCTCCTGAGGATCAGATTTCCTCTTCTGATGAAGACGAACAGATGCATTTTCATGAAGGAAAGAATTAGATGGGATCATTGTTTGTATTATTTAGACTTAAATGGGTTCCCTCTGATTAAAAAATGCAAATTATAATTCTGCTGGTTTATACCATTAAACTTGTATGAAAACTTCATTTATTCTACTAGAATTTTGACTGTAGACAACACAGAAATAGAATATAAGGTCATAAGGAAGATGGGACACAGATTTAGTCACTAGGAGCTATAGGTAGGATTTTCAAAACATCCTAGTTACCAAACCTTTTTTTTGCACAACTTTGGGGATCAGGACTCAGTGTCCCAGCATTCACAGACAATTTTGGTATCCTTTCAATAGAAAAGATGTAACTACATAAGGTCAGAGCAAATATGAAGAAGAGAATGACATTTTGTGTTTTTCCCCCAGTATAACTCACAAAATGTTTCCCACCAACACACCCAAGGATTTAGAAAATGAAGTTTAATTTCTCTGCTGATGTTTCTGGCTGCTGAAAGCATATTAAGTCCTCCCAATAATAAGACTTATTAAATATATTTTCCCAGAGGTCGTAAGTATTTGTAATGAGCCACAAAAACCTGTTAGTGACTGTTCTAGAAAAAACAGATACAATGAGGCAGGGTAAGATAAACAGCTAAAGATCTACACATCTTTTACTTCTGATAGTGAGCTTCAAGCATTCATTAGGATTTTCCTTGCCAGCCATCATCTGTACCAATCCCAAGGCTCTGGCTGGTAGTGATTTATGTGAACAAAGTTTAAAACAATATATAACCATTAAGCACTGCATGAGGAGGACAAGTAAGACTGTATTTTTACATGGGCACAATTTGGTAAGTTTACAAACTGATGACTTCAAATCTCTTAGGGACAGAAAGAGGTCTAGATGGGTGAAGAAACAAACAAAATGTAAGAGAGGGAAAACTCACTGCTATACACCCCCCTCACTTCTGCTGTTTCTAGCCAAAAATCTACTTGAATCTGATCTTTATATAATAGGCCACACAGAATACCTCACAACTAGTCAGCAAAATGACCCTTTTAACCTTAATCCACAAAAGCTGTTTATCCACTTTTGTTTTAAATGCACACACATTTACTTCTGCTCATCTCTATCAGCTTGCCCAAAGTCTTGAAAGCCACAGCAGTTTCAGTAATAAAAATGTGCCTCTTAGTTGATCTGCACCTCCCAAACTTGAAGGATGATTTTAGAGTTCCATGTAAAACATGGTGTTTGAATGCTAATTTTTTTTATTACATATGCTATATAAAATGTGAGCACGATAAGCAATACAGGCAACATCCTTTTTGGGTCAACGATAATTTTTGGCCCAAGCCATCATTATGAAAACATAGTTCATACTTTTTGTACTTAATTTTCTACATTCTCCTGTCAGATAGCTTTCTTTGTTAACATTTAAATATGCAAGATTATTTTCAACACACAGGTACATTAGACAAAATACAGAATAGGCTGTAAATGAATGTAACATGAAATCCACATTAAGCCCAACAGGATTTCTGACCACTGTTTCTTTGGTGACTCTAACTCACAGGAATTGCAGAAGGATCCACAAGGAAAACAACAGACAGGCTAAACATCTTGCATCTACAATGCTGCCAAAAGGACAGGGAGATATACATGCCTGGTGCTAGAACTGATCTATATCCTGTGCTGTTTGGAGCACTGGACTAGGAAACCAGTCAGGGCATATAACGAACCACAGCACAGATAACTACCAAAAATTCAGCAGCATCAGCAGTTTTGAATTAATCCTTGAATTAGGATAGATCACACCAGAGATGTGGGCTATAGTAATATATCCCTGGCCAGCAGGTCAAGGAAGGTTTTCCACCCCCTCTACTCTGCCCTTGTAAGACCACATCTGGAGTATTGTTTCCTGTTCTGGGATCCCTGGGTCAAGTGGGATAAAAATGTACTGGAAAGAGTCCAATGGAGAGCTACAAGGATGATTAAGGGACTGGAACATTTGTCATATGAGCAAAGGCTAAGAGACCTGGGGCTGTTTAGTCTTGAGAAAAGCAGACTAAGAGGAGTTCTTATTAACATCTATAAATATCTGAAGGGTGGATGTCAAGAATGGGCCAATCTCTTTTGAGTGGTGCTCTGTGATAGCATGAGGGGAAACAGCACCAAGTTACAACACAGGAAGTTCCACCTCAACATGAGGAAAAACTTCTTTACTGTGAGGGTGATGGAACACTGGAACAGGCTGCCCAGAGAGGTTGTGGAGTCTCCTTCTCTGGAGACTTTCAGGACTCATCTGGATGTGTTCCTGTGTGATCTGCCCTAGGTGTTCCTGCTGCAGGAGCGGGGTTGGACTTGATGATCTTCACAGGTCCCTTCCAACCCATGTGACTCTAAGATTCTGTGTAGCAGGCACAATTTTCAGCCTCCTTGTTTGGGTTAAGAACTCTCATATCATTTAGGCAACCTGGGCCTGAGAGTAAGAAATCAGTACTTGAGAGGTAGATTAGGGAACCCCCAAAACTTCCATTTACTAAGGGCTGAAAGAAGTACACATCTTATAAGATAGGTAACTAGTTTCAATGACAATTTGAAAACTTCAGCCTACCAATTCTGAAGTTGCATATAAGAGCTACATTAAGATGAAAAACAGAAAAAATCCATGAAGCAACAATTTGGGAATTTCCCATTTAAAAAAGCAACAAACCTTCCTCCCACACAAGCAATGATACCCTGCTCCCAAACACAAACAACTTGGAACTTACAAGTCATTAAACTTCGCCAGTGTTACATCTGGTGTGAACACATCCAGTATTCCAATGACCTACAAATAAAGAAGGGGGGAGAGAAAAATATCCAATGTATTAATACTGATTTAACACAAAAAATCCTAAAACTGCATCGTAAGTGAAAAAATATACTTAAAAATGTATATAGTGAGACAGTACCTGCAGGTATAAAGATGGCAGAAGAATACCTTTTAGAAGACTGAGGGCTGTTTGATCACGTGCTCAAAATAAATAAATAAATAAAAATGTATTTACCTGAACAAAAAGTTCAGAGGCTAACAGTTTTCGGCAAGAGGAAAAAGCATTTTTTTTTTTACTTAAACCGCTTGAGGTGCTGAAAATAAATCTTACAATTCAGTTTATAACCTGAAGCAGTTTTAAGTGCTATTCACCTAACTGGGCCTGCTGTTTGTCAATGAAGAACACTAATCATCTTCTAATTTCAGTAACAGGATAATTTAGGTACAGACTACAATATCTAATTGGGAGTATAGAGAAGAAACCAGAAGTAAACTATTTTTATAGAGTAAATTACAAAGAGCTTCCATATGATTTATTATGGTTTATACCTTAGGTTCTCCTTCAGACTATTTTTTTGTCAAACAAAAGCATTCTATCACTCAACAGAGATATAACAAACTAGTAAAACAGATTTCCCACTGCAGTCTTTCCTACTAGTATAATTTTAAGCAGAACTATACCAACTGACTAGACTCATTATGGTAACTGCCAGTGCTTCTCTCAAGCCCACTAAACACCAGAAAACTAAACACACAGAACTCGAAACTGCAGAAGATGTAGATGGGATTGTGTAAAGCTTATCTTGGATGCTGCTTAATCCAGGCAGGGCCTAAACAGCACAGGCTTTCAGAGTTGCTTCTTTTCTACTCCTACTACCAATACAAGATCATTTCTGTCTGCTCAGAGGAAGCCTCCCAAGCCCTGGTCTGCTCCTGGTGTCTCCCAGGTGCAGGGTGCCATGCTGAGAGGGGTGTGCTGGGGTTTGCTGGAAAGCAAGCGAAAAGGCTAATAACCTTTAAAACCTCATTCACACCTATCTCTGTGGTCATACAAGTTACGGACATCAGACTGTGCATTGTATAAAATTAGAAACTCTAAGAAAGAAACTAGGGATAATGGCATATTACATTGTGCAATGTTACCATCAAAGTGCTAAAAATCCACTTTGATAACAACTCAGATGGATTTTGAGCATTACTGCTATGTCTTAATTGCTGCACAAAACTAGCTCTTTAAAAAAAGTACGTGCAAGTAAAGAGAAGCAAGAGCAGAAATGCAGGGGAAAAAGGCAAGAAAAGAAAGGCAACTTCCTTTATTTAAAGCTTTAAATAAAAATCTTGTAGTGTGATGAAATCCTTCCTGCACGTATTCTTATTTTTTCCACATTCAGAGGGAACTATTACAGTTAGCCTGGATATTATCAAAATGTCATACTGGTGAACAAGACAGAAAAAATAATAAAGACAAAGACAGAAAATTACAACTGTTCCTTTGTAGCCACATATATATATATATATACACACACACACATATATATGAAAAAACCCACACTAATAATATTTCCTGAGGACTGTTCCATGAAACTAATTAAATAAGTATAATTTAACAACCATAACACAATAATTAAACCCAAAGAGGACAAGGTTATTATTTGAAGTAATATCTTCAGTGCTAACATTACAGCAAGGGGTTTTTTATTAGTATTTTTTTGCATAACAGTTTTACATAAGGTTTTCCTTTTCAGTGTGGAGGCAGGGAGAGAAAGAGAGGAGAGCAGGATTAGGAAGATGTACATGACAACAATGGAACATAATGCAGCTCTACAGGCATTTCCCAAGGCAGTGTGTGTACACACACATAGACAGAGTATATACAGCCAGAAAAGTTGTGTGCTCTCCACAGATTTCAGTATTAAAAAGAAGGAAGTCAGTGTTTTAACAGTAATCTTATCCAATATGCAGCTCTTTCCC